GAGAAATCTCCATCTTGCTCTCGCTCAGGTCGTTATACAAGCAGGCGCGCTTGCGCTTGGGGTAGTGAGAGACAGCCTGCCGCGATGACTCGTCGCCGACCGTAGCTGCTGCGGTGGCGTCCGCTCCCGCTGCTGCGGCCAAGGACGACTCTCGAACGCCTGAGGCTGGCGATGGCGCCGTCGCGGCCGCCGGCTCGTGGCCGCCGGCAGCGGAGGCAGTTGACGAAGACTTGGGCACTGTCGGCGCAATCTGCGGCTTGCTGTACTTGTCAGTGGCAGACTCCCCCATTGCGCACGGCTGGACAAAGGCGAAGGAAGGGGTCCGACGGCGAAGTGGTCTCTCTGCTATTGGTTCGTTAATGAACAGCCAAATGAACAGCCAAACTGGTGCTTTCCTGCTTTCCCAGCCGACAGGAGCATAGGAGTTCAGAGGCGAGTTGCAGTTCCGATAGACCGAGCGGAACTTGACTACGTGGATGCGGACACGCAGAGCGCTCCGCGCCACGGACCTATGTCCCCGTCCTGGGTGAAATGAGCTTGGGCACTCCTATTCTTGGTGTGTGGGCAGAACGCGCTCACCGCCCGGCATCTAGCGTTGGTTGGCCGACCCCGCAAAATTTGCATGTGGGCGCTCTTCCTCTACGCATTGTGTGACACCGATATAACTAGTCGGAAAAAAAAGACCATAGGATCAGGTCGGACGAACTCGACAGGAAGCCTGAAGCGAACGCCAGCTAGGCATTGAGGGGCCTCATCATGGAGACGCCGGCTGAGGCCGTGATCATGGTGGGGCGAAGCGCGTCGCCTGCGTCGACACCCGCGAAAAGATCGACACGCGTCGTGAGGCCAAGCACCAAAATTCGAAGCCGCGCGACAGCCCGACGATCTGGCGGAGAAGACAACACGCGCAACTAGGCTTGCAACGCGCATTGCCTCGGACGATGTCGCCATCAGTGACGCGACTGAGCGGCGCAAAGTTGCCAGCAGCAGCAGTGGCGCGAACGAAGGCCGAGCCATGCTCCAGAAAGTTCTCGAACTCTTGAGCGAGTCACGTCAAGAAACGCAAAGCTCAGCCGAGCGATAGATCCGCAAAACGAGATCATATCAAGCAACAGCAGATGATCCAGGAAATGGATCAACAAGGGAAAGAGATGAGAGATGAGCTTCGTCACATCCGAGCGCAGTTAGAGACCCTGGCTACGCCCGCATCTTCTCTGCAGAGCAGTCCGCAGATGTCGTATGCGAGCGCTGCAGGGTCACCGCCGACGATCCAGACAAGGAACCGGGGCACCGTACCAGCAGCTAAATCGGCACGAACAGCCGTCAGCGATAGTCTCTACTGTACGGTGGACACATCACGAGTCGAAGAAGCGAACAGGTGCCAGACGCAGATCGGCAACATCCGAAAGGCCATAGAGAGCGACATGGGAAAGAGTCAGAGGCAGGAGACTTGGAAATGCGCAGCGGTCGTGACAGACGCTCGAAACCCCGACCGGATCAAAATTTTATGCAGAGACCAAACCGAGTTGAAGCAGGTCAAGGAAGCAGCGCAGAAGACGGTAACTTCGGGAGCCAGGGTACTGAGAGGTCAGCTTTACCCTGTCAAAGTCGACAACACCAAGCGTACCGCAGTGCTGGACGCCGAAGGCAACGTTCTGCCGGGCGCAGCTGAGGCGCTCGGAGCCGAGAATTACGTCACGATTGCCAAGATCACCTGGCTTAGCAACAGAGAGAAAGCCAAAGCGTACGGGTCAATGGTGATCTATGTCACTAAAGAGAGTGACGCGCAAAGACTTCTGGACGGCGTGTGGTTCGATGTTGCGGGAGAGTCCGCCTGCACCAATGTTTTTGAACGCCGCGTAGGACCGATTCAGTGCTTCAACTGTCAAGAGATGGGACACAAGGCGTTTTCATGCAAGAAGCCGCAAAGATGTGGCAGATGCGCGAAAGCAGAACATCACCACAGAGAATGCAAGGAGACAGTGCCAAAGTGCGTGCCCTGCGGTGGACCACACGAATCGTACAGCCGGAACTGTCGGGCGCGGAACCCTGGGGATGAGACGCAGGCAGCGTCTGGCCCTTCGGGCTAAGCAGCGGAAGTGAGAATCCACTTAGGATCGATTATGGCACTAACCTTCAACAATACTAACACACAGGTATTCGACTTCGATTTCGACAGACCGCGCTTCAGCTGCTGAAGGTAGGACGCTGAACACTTGGAGAAATTGGCCTTCAAGCAGGCCTGTCACGGAGAGAGTAGCGGCGAGGTTGGTGTAGCGTATGCTGACCCGTGGGGCTTAAGGTGTTACGCATTAATGTATTGAAATGTCAGTAGCTTTTACGTCTAGGCCCTATAGGAGAAATCCTCCGGGTGAAATACACATACATACATACATTGTGTGACAGCTTCTCGTGATATTCTCTGCCGCTACCGCCGCCTACGCCGCTATGAAGTCAGTGTAGGTACTACCGAGAATTTAACACTGAAAAGGACCCTGAAGACGCCTGCCACGCTGCTGGCAAGGCACAAGGGTACTTACTCCCTGATAATTCATTCAGCAGTTTTGTTGGAATACTAACCTGCTGAGTAACCCGTGCAATCGGGATACCATCACGGTTCATGCACGACTCCCACGTGACACCCTACCCCGCGATCAGGGCACGCAGCCCCGGCTGCATGCCCCCATTACCGGGTGCACATTCCGTTTCTTGTGAATAGCTTCCTCTTCCCTAGTTAGTTACAATTGAAGTCATCACCGGTTACCCTACCTGTCGTGACTGTGACTCAGCCTACAGCTTGTGCGCATGCGTATCTGTAGGCACATAGGTGCCTACCATCAAGTTTCCCAATATTATGAGGGTTTGGTCCAGACAGGGATTATAAGTTTTTCCAGATCTGATTGGTTCAGATTTTGTATGGTCCAATGCAAAACGAGGCGCAACTGGACGACGCTGCCCAAAAAGTGGAGCCTAATTATCTAGCAGCCCCTGAGTTGTTCTATTTTGCTTCGCATGGGAACTTCCTTCACGCAACTCCTCTTCACGTCTGTGCCCGCTGTGGCGAGAAGAAACCCGTCGGCGACTTCGTAAGTAAACGAAAATCTGAAGGCTGCCTGAAATTAGATGGACTCCATCACCGCCGGCTAATGCAAAGGTTTCTGTTGGGCTTGTCTCTTGCACAGCGTCTGATGAGTCTTAGCGACACTGAACCAATCATACACTCAATTCAGAGTCAATAATGTTCTAAGCTTCAGTTCTCATTGGTCAGAGTCGCTCATAATGGGAAGAGTCTGTTCACAAGCTCTAAATCGCGAAGTGGACGCTGGACAAGCTCTGTGATCGATAATCCCACAAGACGTGCATAAACTCGTCATACAAAGGCTCTGCCCGGTATCAAAATTCTCCCCAAACGGAGTACTCATTTCTTTAGGAGCTGAATCCTTCCGCCTTACGGCAGCAAACCAACTCAAACGGGAATATGTGCTTCAACATAATAAGCCAGTTGGGACAACAAAGGGGCACGTTGGCGACCATTAGCCCCCCCTTGGTGTGAAAGGCCTCTAGTGAGTTGATACAACTAACTAGTCCCTATGCTGTTTACTATCAAGATAGAGAAGAAAGAAAGAAAGAAAGAGAATCTACTACATGAGAGCACAATAGCATTTTATAGCTTCGAGCCAATGGAAGGTTCTAGAAGCTAGGCGGCGCAGCCGCCGTTAAAGCGGCTTGCCCGTTACACTTGGAGTCCGGAGTAGAGTCGCATGTCAACGACCTCAACACACCAGCTTACTGTGCCGTACCTGCTGTTGTTTGTCGAGCTGCAGAGCTTTTGCTTGTTGATAATTTGGGTGCCATAATCTTGGACATGGCTTGGCGGGCAAGGAGCCGGAAAAGCCCGTATCGCAAAAGAGTCAATTTTCCCCCCTAACTTATGTGTACCTCAAGAGCACCGTTGCAGGTCAGACGGTGTCAGCGCCGCCGAAAAGCAGTATTTCTGGGGGCTGGCACGGGCGACAAACCTTGCCGCAGCTCAACGTCATCGCCGCGGTTGGTGCACATGTACCTGGAAGTAATGTCACTGAAGTGCGCCAAAAAAAAGGGACGCTCTTTGGTGACGCAAGTTTTGGTCCATGGCCATTCTCTCGCGGGCCACTCCGAGACCCCGCGGCTCCCACCTTTCCGTCCCCTCTTCTTCTCTCTAGCTATACTTTGGAATACTTTGACGCTATCTCGGCCACAGCGCCACAATCGAGCTGCTGCCTCAAGATGCCCCGTTCGCCATGGCAACCTTCAACATTTTGTCTGCGTAGCCAAGCAAGACAAAAACGCCCTACATCTAAACATGCTAGAAACGGACGATGAGCCAATTTACCTGGGTACACGAAGCTGCCTGCATGGATTTGTGGCGCCTGTATCTGTCACCGCTGCGACCACAGGCAAAAACATTGGCTCAAAAGGTAGCCACGATTCGCTTCCTTGCCGAACCGATGATTCTCTCCACCGAGCAAACACGGCTTCAGGAACCCTAGGTGACGCAGGCTTGTCCCGCCGCCGTCGACGACCGAAACCGAAACCGAAATCACCCCGCAGCTTGATGATTCCTTACGAGCTTCGAAATAAATATGTCGAATTGGGCTGGGCAAAGACCTCGGAGGAAAAAAGGCGGCGGCCCGCAGTTTTCGGGTTCTTTGATGGAGCAGGCCGGTTCTGTCGCCGGCTGGGCCGCGGAGTACCTGACTCCCCAATGGACTTGCCTTCATCTGTGCCCATTGCCCATGACAAAATTGCATACCGCCCGTTATTTGCAGGATTGTCGCACAAGCAAGTGCGGACAGAGGTGTTGCAACGTTTGGTCAGAAGATATGGTTCCGATTTGGAACTCGGCGAAATATGACGAATGTCGTCTTCCCAGCGGCAGACAGTTCTTCGATCAGACGGCGGGTTCTTGGACTCTGGAGTGTTGTTGCCCTTGGCAGGCTTGTGGAGTCAAAAAGCTGTCTTTATTTAGAGCTAACTTTCTCTGGTCTGGACATAGTGCACCACTTCTTGACCATGCTCAAAGGTTCCAACGTGGGCAAGGGCACGGGCATCTGGGCCATCGACACTGGAATATTTGGTGAGTGAAAGGGTCGATGCACCCTCTGAGTTATGGGATCCTGGTGAATGCCATCACGCTTACCTTGAGGCTCTTTCGCCGATCGGCGGAGCACCTTCGTTTCATACCAGTCTTCGCTTCTTTGGAAGACGGGAAACCTTTCCGCCTTTTCTACCTGCCAGCGCCAGAAAAGCCAGAACGCGAGGGCGCCGATGAGACAAGACCTGGGATCTCGATGCCGCAGAGCAGATCCATACTCCATGCGGCCGTGCTGGTTGGTCTTCCTACAGTTCATCACGACAACCAGCGCCTTTGTGGTATACCCCTGGGCCTTGAAGCCCTCGTTGGGTAAGTCCAGGGGAAAGCAGTCTGCCAACTCCATCGGCAGGCGGTTGCCAGACCGCAGTAGCATGTGGTTCCCGAGCAGAAAGTCCACCTGCGTCCTCAGGGCGCAGGCGATCTCTTTCCTCTCGGACCATGCCACGTTGGTGTGGTCGGGTATCTGCGCCGGCGCATACACATCTCTCAGAGTTCCAACTCCCCTGTCCATGTACTCCTTCCTCTTCCGGCTCCAAGTCGTTGCAAGAATGCTGCGTTTGAGCGCCTTCAGTGCCACTCCCTGTGGCCGGGCCGCAGGATTGACCCCCCGGCTCTTCTGCTCGTCGTAAAGCTTAGGTCCTTGGCCCTCACTGGCGTAATACGCTGAATCCGCATCAACGTCTCGTGTACGACACATTTATGGGTCACTTCCAGGCGCAAGATCCTACTCAAATCCTTCTCCACGTTGATGGTGGTGGTGGTACAGGCAAGTCATTCCTTATCAAGATGCTTTCATCCCATCTTCAGGCAGCCGCCGACCGAATCTTAGCCCTATTTGCCGCGTGGCGCCAACAGGCGTTGCGAGTAACCAGATACAGGGCAGCACCATTCATTCGTTGCTACGCCTCCCAGGACCGGTAGGTCTCGCGAAGAGAGGATGCAAGTGATGAATTCATTAAGTTGCTCCCCCTTTTTTCCCTCCTCTTCTCTAACAAAAGCGACTTCTTATAGTTCTGTCACCTGTGGCTGCCTTGGGGTGGCGATGTCGCCACCCAGGCTGCCTAGATGACGTTGTCATCTAGATGGTTCGATACCACGACTTAACTCCGACATTATTCATCCTTCTCAGTCATCTTTGCTAGAGTCAGTCCGAATAGGTAGCCTTCGGACCTAGATCGTCAACCCGTTTTCACGACAGTAAGAGGTACTTTTACCGACCTTCCCCCAACCGACGCAGCCGCCCTTCAGTCCCGCCTACGGTACATCAAATACCTCGTTATCGATGAAAAGAGCATGCTAGGGCTTGAGCAGCTCGCGCGGATCGATTCCCGTCTGCGGCAGGCCTTTGCACAGCGTAACCTCGAGTTCTTTGGTGGTGTGAGCATCCTGCTGGTGGGCGATTTCTTCCAGTTACCACCAGTCCGACAGAAGCCCCTGTATTCGACTAGCACCAGCCTGTCTTCGTTGGAAAGGAGAGGGCAGGTGGCCTACCGGCTATTTGACCGCACCGTCTTCCTGACCACGGTACAGCGCCAGGCTGGTGATGATCCGGCCCGGTTCCGTCAGGCGTTGCAGGAACTGCGTGAAATCAAGCTGTCTATACCATCCTGGAACCTCCTTAGCGATCGGGTTCAGGCCAGGCCATCGCAGAGCGAGGTTGACAGCTTCAAGACCGCTTTGCGAGTGTATTCTACAAAGGCTCGGGTCAACGAATACAACCACGAGCATATGGTGCACCTCAACGCCCCGGCGATCCAGGTGGAGGCAAAGAATCAGGGCAAGGGTGCGGTGCAGGCACCAAGCGACAACGCTGGCAATCTAACTAACAAGTTCCCTGTTGCTAAGGGCACCAGGGTGATGCTCACGATTAATCTGTGGCAGCCAGCTGGCCTAGTTAACGGTGCCCAGGGTACTGTCTGTAACTTATATGATATCGCCTGGAACGCAGGCGCCGACCCATTGGAAGAATCCCCAGCTGTTATTATGGTGGACTTTGATAGCTACGATGGACCGCCATATCTAACAACTAACGAGGGCAGGAACATCTCACCTATCCTCCCAGTCAGGCGTGATTTCCTTGTGGACAACGAGACCTGCGCTCGCAAGCAGTTTCCCCTGATCGTGGCGTTTGCTATCACTGTCCACAAATGCCAGAGCCTAACGAAGGATAAAATAGTTACTGATCTCGCTACACGCGACTTCCAGGCCGGTATTAGCTATGTTGCCGTCTCACGGGTTACCTCGCTCCAAGGCTTACTCCTTGAAGCGCCTTTCGATCGTCAGAGCCTCTATAACCACACGCCGACGGAAGGTTATACGCCTGCGTTTCCTACGTACTGCATTCACGGCTAACTATGAGACAGGGATGAAGATGCGCCTCGCTGACCAACAACGGCGTCAGGGTCAACAGCTGAGCGATCCACCGTATCCACCACTCTACCGTCACTAAACGTCGTCTTCTACAAGCTACAGGGAAGGGTGAGGTACGATATAGGGTATATAGTTAGGTTGGGCCTACCAGGAAGTGGTTCAAACAGCTGGTTGGCCGCTGCAGGCGGAAGGGGGTCCCCCCCTGACAAAGTCGAATGCAGGTATACGATATTCACCCTTCGGGCTGGATATTCAACCGTTGGGCCCCTTGCATTGGCAACTTAACGGGTGTTCGAAGTATTTTAATCGTCAAGTTTCGACCAACAATTATTGATAGATATCTGTATGCATCGAAGGTGGTCGTCATCGAGACTCTCAGCTTGCGAGGATGCACCGGTATACTCGCCTCGTATGTGTTCAGGCAGATATTTAGTCCCAATCCGCGGCCGTCTAACAACATGCCCAAGATGGCTCCTCAACTGGCTCCTCGTCCGCCTCAATTCGTCCTGCTCAGGAGTCTAAAAGTGATAGACTTCGTTCTTCCAATACGCCCACCACCAAGAAGCCAAATCGTCGTCAAGCGACCGCCTCCGCCTCTCCGCCAGCTCACTCTCACTCTCACTCTCACTCTCTGAGTCCGTGATGCCGGCCTCCTCGTCGGTCTGCGGCTGCACCCGCGCATTCTCGCACTCGATCCACGTGTTGTTGCTCGTGTACTTCTCGCCCGTGTTGGCCGCCTTCCAGGTGCCAAAGTAGCAGTAGATGAAGGTGCTGCAGTGGTCCTCGCGCGTCTCGAGCGTCACGTTGGCCTCGTGCGGCAGGCACTCCACCAGCGCCGCCATCATGCTCTTGGGCTTCGCGTAGTACGGCAGCTTTCCCTCTGTCTCTCTCTTGAGGGGCGTGATGGGCGCTAGGGGAGGGGTCGTCGGGACGCGGTGCGGTTCGCGGAGAGCTCGCCATCGCTTGTGCATCCGGCGGCCTTGGCCGGGTGTGAACTCGGTCTTGCAGGAGCTGTCTCTGGTGTCAGCCTCGGTCCAAAGCTTCCAGCCATGGTGTCTTGCTGCTTACTCGCTGGTAGGGCTCATAAAGTTGTGGATGGGGTCGAGGCCGGGCTGATCCGGGCACGAGTCCAGACCGACAGGGCAGATGCCAAGTGACTCATCCCTCATTGCAGCCGGCGTATCATCCACATAGTCGCCCTGGCCGCTGCACCTTACGCGGGACGTTCCGAGCAGCCCGAGCCAGTATCCGATGCCACGGACCGCCGCCTTGCCCTCCCACGTGGCGGCATCCCATCCCGGCCCGCCGGGGACCGTGTGAGCTGCGATGATGGCGCCGTCGACCCTGTACGTGCCCAGGTCCCGGGGTATCCGATCCGGCGAGTACAAGAGGCCCGTTGTCGTCGGATCGTCGCTGAAGCGCTCGATAAAGTACAGGTTGAGCGTGCGGGCATCGCCGCGGTTGGATTTCCACATCATGCGCATCTCATCGATGCCCTGGCCCCAAAGGGTGTCGATGATGTGCTCCGTCTCGACAAGAGCAAAGGATATGTTGTGCGGCGCGAAGCTGCGATTGATGATGTCCATCTGCCCGTCCAGAGCCTTTTCCTATAGAGTAAAGACGTGTCAGAATGCCATTGACACATTCATTATGCGGTGAACAAAGTCTTACGCTGAGATGCTTGCCGCCCGGGGTGGCGACGAGATGTGCCGACACGTTCACGGTGAATGGAACAAGGTCCTCGAACTCACCCGCCTCGGGTCGTGGGGCGAGCGTTGCGCCTTCGCTGGCAATCAGCGCCGGCGGGACATCGTCGCCCATGCCATAGTTCAACGCAACCGAAGCCGCAAGGCCGGCCATCAGGGCCTGAATCCAACAACGCATGGCAACGGTGGAATACGGGAGAAAAGGGGGAAATCTTCGTGATGGGTATACCTAGAGTATAGACTAGGTGATGTTCAGCTCGAGAACGGGAGGAACGGGGGCTTATATATATATGTCTCCTTGCCCACCATCACCTCCCCCGTGAGTGCTACCGGTAAACGATCCTCTGCTTTTCGTGGTGCCAACGCCCAATAGCCATGTTATGGCCTTGATTGGCTATAGTCTCCGCAGCATCCACATTCGGTTCCTACTCCCCCGAGAGGAACCTCCCAATCGAAGTTGGGTTCGCGGCCCGGCGCCGATGGGGTTTGATTCCCAGCCCACAGCTGTCGCGAAGTACGTCTGAGATCTTGAGCTCGGGGTGACCATAAGGGGTATACAGCTAAGGGCCCCGACGGGCCAGACAGAAAGGCAGTCTGCAGAGAGTTCTGAGGCTGCAGAAGGCTATTAGGAGACCGCATTAGGCAGCCACATAGGCTGTAGAGAGACTGCATATACGAGGGAAGCTGAAAGAGCTCTCAGCGACCAGGGAAAGTCAGTATGCAAAGGGGGGGCCCCCTAGATCTTGTACCTATACAACTGAAAGGGGGATATCGATAGGGAACCAAGGGATATATAAATAGGGAGTCTAGAAGAGGGCATTGCAAGAAGGGACAGACAAGAACAAAATACAACACAACACACCCATCGTCGCACAATCAATGCCCAATTGCATGCTCTCTTCGTGAGAACAGCTCTCTGCACGTGCAAATATGCAGGGTTCTAAAGCAACAAAGTTTTCAGGTGCGATATTAATTTGGAGTTTTCCAATAGTTAGTTATTGTGGGAATGTAGCATATTGTCGGGAGGTCTGTACTGCAGTAACGCAATGGGTTGTATTCAAGATGTCTAGCTAGGAAGGTCTGTACTGCAGTAACGCAATGGGTTGTATTCAAGATGTCTAGCTAGGAAGGGAGGAAAGGGAATGAGGGGGCACACTACGTGCCCTTTATACACGGATCCCCGAGGTCCATACACGTGACGCTAAGGGTCACGTGTGCGTGTGTGCGCACCTCCCTTACAATCCTACTATAGCTATATGCTACATTCCCACACTAATCATATTAGATGGACATGGATGCCAGGAAATGGTGCGTATCCATGGATACCTTCCTAGGAATCACTGTGTAACTGAACCAGGATGCATAGATGGCTCCGTGCCTTTTGAACAACGTGTATTGCTGCCACCTTCCTGCCCACTGCTCCCATGGCCTCCAGCCGTTGGATAATGGTGTTTTCAATGCCTCAAAGGCGGCCTATCGAAAAAAACTTCAGAAATTGACCTGGAAATTGACCTGTCTTACTGATTCTTCGCCTGTTGATAAGGTCAATTTTATGCGGGCATATGCCAAAGCACGCGAGGTTGGCATGACTGCAAAGAACATATTGTCCGGCTAGAGGGTCACTGGAAATTGGCCAATATGACGATCCAAGGCATTGCGGCATCTAGATATCCACGTAGCCACGGGTCAGACATCTCCAAAGTCTGCGCCATTTTTGCATTCTGGCGATACACCAAGAACCAGCCGCCAGATTCGCGACATTGGCAAGAACAAGACTCCCAGCACTCGGAGGAGTCTTGCGGTGATAGCTAAAGGCTTTGAAGCGCAAGAACAGGCGCTTGCTGAACACAGCAACAAAATTGCGAAACTGGAGGCAGAAGTGGCTCGGTTGCAGAGAGGCAAAAAGAGGAGGGCCATTCCGAACCCGAACAGGTGGTTCATGACTCTTAGTGAAGTTTTGGCAGCTAAGGAAGCTATTCCCCAAGTTAGAAGCCAAGAAATTGTCGTTGTGCTGAATTCTGAGACCGAGGAGGACGAGGTCTCAGAGATGGAGACAGCGTCGGTGATCGAAGTCAAGGTGGCACATGAGGCCGATTCTGTCACCACCAGGTCCGGAAGAATTATAAAAAAGCGCCGGAATATGTAGGAATGGTCAGTCCTCTACAGAATCATACAATTCTTATATTTTTATTCTTAGGTTCTGGTCACATTTCATATAACTTAGTTCAAATGGTGGACTTTCCGTGGGGATTATTTTATTTGCGCTACCCAAAAGGGGGTGACGAATGGTAGTGCATGGTTAGTGGGGCTGCAGCATCAAGAGACGAAGGGAGAGCATTCGGTCCCGTCGTTGCGAGTAATACTAGGGTTGTTTAACCAAAAAAATAAGTACTCGTGCCGGCCCCGACTTTCAGGGGATTCGCTTTGGCTGACCCACCGCTTTGAAAGTAGGGGCGGGCACGAGTAAGGGAACGGTTCTGTGGGTGAGCCGTAGGCTCAACCAATGGCGGGACGGTTTCATACCTTAAAAATCGCGGGGTAAATGCATTAGTTTAATACAAGGACAATAGACGGGGCCTCAACTCCGAGACGACCGCGTAAGCTTATCGGGCATTAACGACAAGGTCCAGGAGGTACGCGTCGGCGGCGTCGCCATGATTAGTGACTCGACATCGATTTTTAAACGAGGATATGCCTGACCACTTGATAAAAACTTAAAGATTCTTTCTTATTAACCTCGGGGTGGTTAACAATCCACCGCTTTCCGCTATCCATCCACCGAAATGTATAGTGTGGATGTACCATCCTTACCCCCCCTTTTGCTCACCCCCCCCCTTTTGCTCCGCAAAAATGTTGCCGCTCCATACAAATTGGACCAACTTCACTTATACAGAATCTACTCAATTTTAAAGCTTTTGACGAGCAGTAACCTGTAGCAGGTATAGAAATGACCGGGCTTACATTCTATGAAGTCAGCTGGCCACCACAGGTGTCGTGGTCCGTGACACCCTGACATCGCAAAATGGCAATTTCGACCCCTAATCTCCTCCTGCCTCTTTTGCTTTCCACTCTTGCTCATCCTCCACCACCTGTCACAAATGGCTCCAAAAAAGCCTCGCTCTATCTATACAGAGAACGTGATGGCTGAGGCAATTCTCGATGTCACTGATAACGGTCTGTCGCAGCGCCAGGCTTCTCAGAAATGGGGGATACCCCAGAGTACTATTTCCAGCAGAATGCGAGGTCGGTCGGCATTAACTGACCAGGAACAGCCTGAAAAACACTTATCCAGAGACCAGGAGGCCAACTTGGTTGCCTGGACTCTTCGCCAAGAATCTCTGGGTTACGCTCCGTCCCAGAGTCAAATCCGCGCCTGCGTTGTTGCCGTTCTGAAACAGCAAGGCTGCGACTCAAGATTGGGACGTCATTGGGTAGAAAAGTTCATTCAACGCCATCCGGAACTTAGAAGCAAGGTCGGTAGGCGTCAGGAAGCCAACAGATTCGACTTATTTACTCCCAAAGCCGTGCACTGGTACCTTGACATCAGGGAGAAGGAGTACGGGTGGATCAAGCCGGAGATTGCGGAGAACACCGTGAATGTTGATGAAGGGGGGATTATGTCGGGTTTTGGTATGCAATCAACTCTCCATAGGCGATATAAGCTAATTCGGTCTCTTTGCTAGGTCTAGACAGTCTGGCGGTTGGCAGTTCGGACCCTAAACGGAAGACTCTTCTCAAGGGACCCCAGTCCCGAAGTTGGACCACTTTTATAGAGGCCATCACCGCCGACGGGCGCGCCTTAACTCCAGGCATCATATTTAAGGGTAAAGACCTCCAGGCACAGTGGTTTAAAGAGGAGTTTCGAAGATTTGCGGACTGGCGCTACATAACTTCATCAAATGGATGGACGGACAATCACATTGCCGTTGAATGGCTTGAGGAAGTCTATTTGCCTCAGACGCGACCTGACGACGATTCTGAGGCCAGGCTTATCATTCTGGATGGACATGGGAGTCATACAACGGTTCATCCTTTGTTTTTATGGCAATGACGCCCTGCTGATTTGACGATAGAATGAGTGGATGGCTACGTGCTTTCTGAACAATGTCTACTGTTGTTATCTCCCATCTCACTGTTCTCATGGCCTCCAGCCATTAGAAAACGGTTTTTTCAATGCTATAAAGACAGCCTACCGGAAGGAGCTTGACAGACTGGCTTCTTTGACGGATTCCACACCTGTTGACAAGGTCAATTTTATACGTGCGTATGCCACGGCACGTCAAACGGGAATGGCAACAAGAAACATCTTGTCCGGTTGGAGAACCACTGGAAATTGGCCAATCTCGCGTTCCAAGGCGTTGGGGCATCCTGAGATCCAAGGAGACAAAGTTACGGCATCCCCGGAACATAGGCCGTTTTTGGACTCTGACGACACCCCGAAATCCAGCCGCCATATTCGTGATCTTGGCAAGAACAGAACACCTACGACTCGGAGGCGATATGCCAAGATAGCGAAAGGCTGGGAAACTCAAGAACAGACACTAGCAGAACATGGTAGTAAAATTGCTAGGCTGGAGGAGGAAGTGGACAGGCTGAAGAGAGGAAGAAAGAGAAGAGCGATCCCTAACCCAAATAGACGCGTCATGCGTCTCGCCGAAGCTTTGGCGGCCGGTGAGGCTGTCCCCGAAATTGGGAGTCCAAAGAAAGCCGTTGTGGTGGATTGCGACTGGTTAGAGGAGGTGGTGGAGTCGGAGACGGAGACAGCTTCGGTGATTGAGGTCAACGTATCTGGGCCTCCGCAGCGCACCACGCGACAGGGTCGCGTCATAAAAAGACCAAGAACCAATTAGTGTGTTCAATTCTCATTCAAATGATGTATCTTTTATATCTATATGTCCATAGTTCGCCGAAATATGAGCAGTTCAAAAATCAGATTTTTGGTGAGGTTTGTCTCATTTGGCGGAGCATAAGGGGGGGTGAGCAGAAGGGGGGGTAAGCATGGTACTTGACTTCGGGGCAAGTTATCCATCCACCGCTTTCTAGCTTCTATTATCCATCCACCAAATTTACGTGGGGAATGTACCGACTACCTACCAATGGGCTACCAATTGAACCCTTTTAAACCCGGCACGACAACTTGCTGTGCCGGATTGGCGATTACCTATGATTGCCGCAGGCCGAAGCAGCGAACATATCCTCGACTTTACTAGGTAGCGAGGGGTTTACCCCGAGCGAACGTGGTGGTGATGATTTCGTATTGAGTACGAATACTTCCTTAGGAATCTGGCATGACTCGAGGATGTAGCTAATGAACGGAGCTCACGTTCTGCTTCCCCCACTTTTGATAGATGGATAGCGGAAAGCGGTGGATTGTTAAGCGGTCCCACTATTTATTCTTAGGGAGGGGGGGAGTGGGGGCCCCGCCACACCTCCCAGCTCGACTTGTGGACACAGCAGCGGTAGGTAGGCCAGTCGTCTAGTAAGCGTGTAAGTGCTTTGCATACAAGCAGAGGCTGATGGTTTTAAAATATTCCTAATCGCACAGTACTCAGCCATACTTGGAGGGGTAGCAGCCAAATCCGGTCTAGCTGGGCCTGCATTTTCTAAGTCTGAGGGGTGAAATTAAAAACGGTCGGGACTATATAGGTTCGGCAGATTATTGAGTGTTTTTTACTCTGTAATCCCTTTCATTCAACGTCTGCTACGACACCGATTTCTTTTCATTGTTCCCATAGATATCGGAAATGCATCGCTACTCATTCTCTCTCAAACTGATTTGGTGGCTACTCGTCCAATGCCTTGTGGTCTATGGCGGAGCGCTGCCGGCCCCCGAGTTTGTCTACCGAGGAGACCCCATACCTCTCACGCAGCTACTCCAACAAGGAGGATTTATACCTCGAGGTCGTCTTCAACTTTCCGAAGAAGGATTAAGTCTTCATCACCACCAGCAAGGTGGCAGGAGTCACCTGCAAAATACAAACTATGTCTCGACATCGAAAATATTTACAAAAGCAGGCGAATATGGTCAACATTTATATAAAATCAAGGCGACGCCGAACATGATTGATATAAACAAAAGTCTCGGATACAGTACGGGGAAGGCCCATGAGTACGAATTTTCGGCGCTTGGTGGGATTCCTATTGACCAAATAGTCGGCATTGTTGACAAGAATGGTAACATTATAACGAAAAACCCCAAATACGACGAAAAAAAGTACGCAGGTCTTCGCGCTGGCGGTGGTCGTCCAGAACTTGCTGGTTTTCCAAAAACCGGTCTGGGCTCCGAGCGATGGAATGAACCTGAGTACAGTCAATTCAAAGACAAGTCTTTGCTCAAATACGTCGAGGAATCTATGCCTACTAACAAGGGAGAGCCTTGGGGTAGCGTTTCTACTAGTGGCTCTAACGGAAATGTTATGCAACAGGATTTGAAAAAATATCAAGAAAATCAAGCAGCCAATAAGGACACCAAGAATCAACAGGCCGACGGCAAAGAGCAGAACGACAGCAACAAGACAAAAGACGGCAAGCCTAGAAAGGGGAGCTGTGCCATCTCAAAGCGAGATGGCGGACGAGATGCCTGCGAGGACGGCAACAATCTCAACGAGAAGGAGCCTGAGGAGACCAAGCCAGATGGGATAGAGCCCGAGCAGATCAAGCCCACTAAAGAGACCAAGAACACTATTGAAAAGCCGGAGCAGATCCCAAAGGAGCCAGAGAAGATATTGCACGAGAACCTGGCAAAAGGTCTCGGGTACCTGCAAGCAGCACAGTTTATGACCGACATCGTGGATTCTGCCACGGCCCATCTGAATGGGTCAATTACAGGCAAGGTTGAAGAAGACATAAAGAATGGCAATTTCTCAGACGCATTGAAGTCGAGCGGAAAAGTACTTCTCGACATTGCAGACGATACGATACCCGGACTCAACGATATACGAATCCAGACTGAAGAGCTAGAACGCAAACTACAGTCTATCCAGGGCAAGTCAACGCTAGATACGGTAATTCAAGCGCTCGAGGCGGTTGTGGAGCATCAGGCCAAAGTTGAGCTGACAATCCTGAAAAATTACGTGCCCGGTGTTCCGGAAGTACTGAAGAACTTCAACGAGGAATTACAGGAGGCTTCGAATTTCAAGGGGACAGAAACTGGGGTACAAAAGGCGGAAAGGATTGCGGGCTTGATCACCAAGGGAGTGACAAACACGGTCAACGATATCTTCAGGGATTGGGTGCCTGCATACAAAGAGATACAGGATTCGGCTCGAGAGAAATGGAAAGGCCTCGGCAAGGAAGTTATCGCACGGGGTGTAGAGCAGCAGCAAGCATGAAGATCAGGAAGTGGAAGAACTCTTGATTTAGCTATCTAGAGGGGAAAAGGAGCAACATCTTTATAGATGACATAAAGGAGTGGCTGGGAGATGCTAGAAGCATCTGATCATATAGTGTAGGTGCCTATAACGTGTGCATAATGTTGATGGTTGGTGTGGCTGTTTGGCATAGTGTAGATGGTAGGGGTCAGCCTGTTGGAGGCTGATATCCTGTGTGTGACAGAAGTCATGAAGGTCCGTGAAAACAAGGAGGGCTTTTGGGGGATGCTTAAGGCAGGCTTAAAAGCACCCGTGGACCTGGTCGTTGGCACACTGCATCGTCTGGCCAACGATTATATCCCTGGAGAAAAGCAGCTGGAGAAGGAATTGACTGGGAATAAGATAGAATAACCCTGGAACTTTGTCACTTAGCATTGACTAAAATAACGTACCTCACTGAGTCATGCAACGCACCACGTCATGCAACAAATTGCCCGACCGGCAAGCCAGAGCGAAAATTAATCCTGCAACCGACACAACCATTTAAAATACTATTAAACATTACAATTATGTGAAACACTTCACACAGAGTCTATCTATATGATGGTTTTCTTAGGAAATATGAGCAGGCGGTCTTGTGGTCCGCCCAGACCTGAGAGACTGAGAAACCGGCCTCCATACTTCCCTGCGCTTCCGTCGAACGGGAGGTATGTCTTTACCCCTAAAGCTCCGGGACTGTGGTCTCGAGCCACTGAAGCTTCAGAACCAATCTTTACCCTTTCTTCCTCCGAGTTGTTGCGTGGTTGAATGCCCGTCGCGCAAACCCGCTTCCAACGCCCCTCGTTTTTCTCACCGCTACCGGGTCTTTTGTGCCCTCTTACACCAGGCTTTGACGTAGCAGCTACCTCAAACTTGACTTCCCGAATAGCCTGGCGTTCAGCCTCGCGTGCAGACCTCTCTGCTTTTAATTTTGCTGCGGCCTCCCGTTTCTCAGCTCGCTTTGCCTCGCGCTCCGCAGCACGCTCTGTCTTCTCTCGAGAACGCTGCTCTCGCAAGGCCTGATGCATTGCAGCCCGCTGTTTTTCTTCTCGGCAGATTCTCGAGCCTTTTCTTCACGTGATATGGCTACCTGGAGTCGACGATCTTCAATGGCTTGCTTGCGCTGCTCGTCGGCCTGTGCCTTGTCCGTCTGACGTCGCCGCGCCAGTTCCACCTTGGCTGGACTGAAAAAGACCGGCTGGCCACCACTTTCTTCTGGATTGAAAAGGCCCAAGGCCTTTCTGCGTTTCCCTTTATGTGCAAGTTTGAGCGCTTCCTGTAGATCTCGATTTTCGTGTTGTACGAGCTCATATTGTGTCGCCAGTTTCTCTGATGCTCGGGAGAGCGCTGTGACTCGGGAGTCCATCAGCCCTTCCTTGCGGAGACGGCGGGTAATGCGCCGAATAGCCCGAAGAGAGCCTGAGTCTTCATCGCCCTTTCCTCAGATGCAGTTTGTGGGGGTGTCACATCACTGCTGTGGCTAATCTTGGACAATACTTTGCCGGGGTCGAGTGGATGGATTCCTGTGGCCCGCCAACCAGCCTCGATATTTTTGGCCGTAAATGCCTGGTTCCACGCATCACGAAAGAGTGGCCAAAAATTCCGTTTGGTAAGGCGAATTAACCCCCATCCAATGGACATCAGCTGGTCGGAACCTTGAGCATAATAGGTGGAGAGTGCGGAAAACAGGCCAACATCGAGTGGTTGAAGCCGATGAGTTGAGTGCGATGGCAACACAGCAATGAGAATTCGATTCCGATCGGCATAGTCAATGAATTTCAGGTTAATGTGACTATTGTGACCGTCTAAAATTAAGAGACGGTAGGCACGACCAGCCTTTTGCTTCGTATGGCAGTCAAATATGCGCTGAAGCCAGTGTAAACCCAGTGCATCACAGCTCCAGCCGTTTTCCGTACTGGCGAAGAAGGCTACTTCGCTGGAATGGTCAAAATCCTCAAGCCAAGTATCTTGGAAGTCTTTGACTCCCTTTGTAAATGAGGGCCGGTGGCAGGTACGAATAATCTGCACATATGGCAGCGATCAGCGTGATGAACTCCCGGTTCCTGTCTTGGCTTGCCCCGACCAGTTTTCCGCGCCTGAGGGCTTCTCGGGGGACAACTCGCTTGGTGGAGCGAGAGAGACCAATTTGGAATCCCTTCTCGTCAAAATTATAAACATTTGAGGGACTGATGTTGTACTTTTCGATCTTTTCGCGGAGCTAGTTGGATTCGGTCAAAATGGCGACTTTACGGCATTTGACCGAGTATTGTCGGCAGTATACCCTTGAAATGACGATAAAAGCAGTCTTACTAGATTGAAGAAGTTTTGGAAATGCCTGGAATTATCAGCAGCCTTCCGCTGATGATTTATGGTGCGCAAATACAAGCTCGAAAGACGGTCATGGTGTCGCTTGCGGAAGCGGCTCACCCAGTTGACACCAAGCTCTGCCCCTGCGATTTCCTCGGCGATATTCTTCAACATCTGAGGGGTAGGCGGGATACCACGGTCGGTCAGCTTATCGACGTGCCCAATAAGAGTCTCCTCCTGCGCGCTGGTGAGTTTCTGTCGCGAGTAAGAGTTCGCGTCGTGATTTGAGGCTGTTTTGCCTTTGAAGCGGCGCCACAGCGTGGATTTGTCGATATTGTATCTCCTCGCGGTCTCTGCATATTTAGGGCGATCTTGGGATTGCATTTCTATAATTGCCTCTGCAATACGAGTGTTGTGGTCCATATCGCGTCAATTTGAAGAAGACGCGTCAGGTGTTGAAAATTGTTGCATGACCTAGTGCGTTGCGTGACGCAGTGGGGTACGTTAATTGAAGTACCAATTTTTTTCTAGGTCAACGTTTAATTCTAGATCAACCGCCCCCCCGTGACTGTGGAGCTGTCACGGGGATTGGCCGACTTTGAGGCCCCCCTAGTACTAATAAGGCTGAGGGCCTCGTTATTCTATTAACCATTAACGCATTGTCACCTCATCTAGGCGGGAATTTAACATGCGCAATGCTAGCAAGTACATGTATCAGACCCATAAACCCCACTGCGGCCTAGGCTAATGATTAATGAAACAGCGGCAAGGCGGTGGGCGTGCGGGGGAGGGCTCCACCGATTGAATCCATCCCAACTCTGTATCAGGTACCGAACAGCACAGCTTGACTCGTGCCTGAAGCTCTAGCGATGGCTCTTGTGGGCTGTTCTGTAACTTACTTCGTAGCCTGAACAAATTTTGTGTGGATTCAATCGGTGGGGGCCCCCACCTCCCCAGACCGGCAAGGCTGTCTACCTTACTCAGACCCACCCCCACATTTATTGATGAGGGCACCTCGGTCAGTCTTTCCCCATATTATCACTTATCATGCCCTTTATTATTTCGTGGCGCCAAACTGACCCACACCACCCTCGGGTCTGCCGACCCGAACTTTCAACTAACGACCTTATTATCTTGCGTGTGGACAGGCTCTTCACTGCAGTGAGGTTATTCGAACTGGTTCAATACCGCGCTAGTCACGTGCGAGTAAGAGGTGAGACACAGGGAGGAAGGTCTTTGCACACAGTTTGTATGGGACACGTTTCCCTAGTTACACAAGATATAACCAATTGAACCAGTTCGAATAACCTCACTGCAGTGAAGAGCCTGTCCACACTGATCAGTGTGGACAGGCTCTTCTGTGGTAGGAAGAGGAAGAGGTTGTTGAGTTGTGGGTGGAAGGGGAAGAGGGTTTTGAAGAGGATGTTGTTGATCGGATTGTGTTGAGGGAAGGAGTGATTGTTGTGTTGATGGGTCTGTGCGGCTAGGGCTAGGGTCGGGTTGCAACTGAGGAAGGAGCGATTCCGGGTGACGATAGTACGGTTGGACGCATGTACTGCGAAATTTCGCTGGTCCGTTGTCCAGGTCAACTGCGATTTCCGTATCCGTCACCTCGAGCACTTTATATGGGCCTTGCCATCCGTGCTTCTCGCGAAATACGCGAACTTCGCTTCCTAGCGCCAGGGATAGGGGCAGGCGCAACGCTGTATCAGGCCCATTACGCGTATTTAACGCGGTCTGAACCTTCCTCTGGGCGTTGATCTTCCTCAGCTCTGACATCGTTCGCCACACCGCCTTAGCTCTTGCCATTGCGGAAGGTGTAGGCGGCGAATCCATCGTCATTCGAGGCAGAGCACCGAAGACGAGGAGGGTTGGAACGAGGCCATCCGGACCGGCTGTGTCGTTGACAGCCTTGAAAGCCATTTGAAGGACTTGATCAGGGCTCACGGTATCCTTCAGCTCTGCCTTTAATATATCATATGCTCTTCGGACGGGCACATGATACTTCTCAACCTTCCCAACAGCCCAATGTGCTTCCACAGGCACCTGATGACACGTTATTCCCATCAATTTCGCTTCTGCTTGGAACTCGGCAGCAGCGAAATTCGTGCCTGCGTCATGAGTGATGACATTGGGTGGCAGACCAGTCCTCCATGTTGTTGATCAAGCCACTGCCTATCAGGCAGGGAGATTCCTATCCAACATGACGGCCAAGGAAACGTGGCTCGCGTTGAAACAATGTTGGATGGATACATACCTTGGACCACAACTAGGGAAACGTGTCCCATACAAACTGTGTGCAAAGACCTTCCTCCCTGTGTCTCACCTCTTACTCGCACGTGACTAGCGCGGTCGATTAGTTATACGTGCGCGATCGGTGCCTAGTGCACAGGTGGATCCAACACTGGAACCTCTTTCTAAATCGATGATCGCGCACTAATCAATCCACCAAAACACACCAAACACAGCGAATTAAGATGAGATAGGAAAAACACGAACAAGAACACCAACAAACTCCTACCACGATGCATCACTATGTTGGATAGTGTGCTCTGACTGTAGCTCTCCCTCCCCCACACTGGGTGTGTTCTGCCACACGCCATCATGGGCCGCATTTCGAGCGCCGGATGCGCTAGCTGATTCCATCGGTCCCACGTTGGAATATGGACACGAGGATCTCCTCGTTAATGTGAATGGAATAAAAGAACGACGGTAAAGCAGCAGAAGGAACGAAAACCGATTAAATCTCGTCGAGAATTGTTGTGTTATTGCGATGAACGAATCCTTCCACCTCACGTTTAGCTGATTGTCGCTAATAAACTGCGTGAGGGCGCTGTTTGTGATGCCTTCGTCATAGCATCGGCAGGGTTATCTGCGCCGTTGACCCAACGGATTTCCGCAATATCCCTTGATTCATATGCTGCCTCAGCGCCATGATATCTATCATGAGTCGCTTCTCTGTTGTGGTGCCAAGTTTGACGAGGCACTCATAGAGGCTATATGAATCTGTGCAAATGACGAGCGGATTTGCTTCAGATCAAGGCGTTGTGCGATCGTATTGACCGTTTGCTTGATCACAAATGCGAGATCGAAGCCCGATGTCAATCCATAGATCTCTGATGCAAGAACGCTTCGAGTAACGCGCTTGCATTTAGTTGAGCTCCAATGAAGAATGTTTCCGCGGATGGAAAATGAATCGGTTGATTGCGCGGTCTCATTGGCGATGATAATCACAAAGCCGATTTGAGAGCTTAAATCCTTATTGTTGGCGAATGATCCATCGGTGAACACAAAGATCTTCGCGCTCGAGATCGATGGGTATGTAACATAGGCCACGGTCGGGATTGTTGATCTGCCATTCAATCCGCTTGTTCAAAGCCTTGAAGTCGGTATTAACGGGCTCTTGGGCTTGTGCCGCAACGGAACAATCGTATGTTGCTTCGGGTTGGCAAATCGAAGCGATATATGCCCCCCGGGCGCGTTGAGCAGCATAATCCTGATGCCTACTTGATGCCTGAAGATTGATCTCCTCGAGGTTTTGGGCTTGGCCCTTCTGCCTGACGATGACACAGCCATTTTGTATGGTCAGGCGGCTGCCGTTAAAGTCGCAGATGGAACCTTCTTGGAGAATCTCTTTGGCTTGGCCTTAAAGCAGAGTTCTTTCTCCTCGATCTTGAGAAATGCATCTGTGCCAACAATGAATGTGTCATCCGTTTGCAAGGCCGCGATGCCAAACAGGTCCTTGTCGGCGATGTTGTTTGCCGTGATCAGAAGGCACGGGTCAAACGAAGAGGTTTCCATATTAAGCTTGCGGCAGTGATGGTCGTGATATGTGTTGAACCAGTGGGCTCCTGCCTCTGCGATGCCATATAGCGGCTTCACGATTCGCAGGATTGTTCCTCTGGATATCTTCTTTGAGTTCTTGAGGAAGGGCTGCAAGGATGACACGGGCCAGCTTGGTCTGGGATTGTGTGTATGCCATCGTGATGTCTCTGATCATGATGAACATATCCCGTGTGCAGAGAAACGGTGCTAAGGCCAAGGCCACGCGTTGTGCGGGCCGGCTGATGGTAGGGGCTTGTGAGGATCCCACGTTTCCCATCATCATTGTATCCTTGCACAACGAGGCGTGATTTCTCGTATGGCGTTGCAGTATTTCTTCCCTTAACCTCTCTGACCATTCGTGATTTGAAGACACGATATCCACCATGTTTATTCGCATCGAATTCTTCGGGTACAATGACCCCAGCGGCGAGGAGGTTCGTGAGCTCGAGTGTGTCGGAAGCTTCAAATGGGAAACCGGTGCTTGTGATCTTTCCTTCAGCTCGTAGCCGCTTGGCTAGGCCGAGATGTTCCATTTCTTTTCGAACAAGAAACGCATTAGCTTCATGATGAACGATAAATTGAACGGGTGAGCAAACAATAGTGGATTCTGATGTGCCATTTTGTGCAGCATCCTTCCTAGGTCGGCCACGCCTGCGCGGCCTCTTTGGCTCAGGGTATTCGAAAGGTTTGGGTTGGTCTTCTGTGGTAGGAAGAGGAAGAGGTTGTTGAGTTGTGGGTGGAAGGAAGAGGGTTTTGAAGAGGATGTTGTTGATCGGATTGTGTTGAGGGAAGGAGTGATTGTTGTGTTGATGGGTCTGTGCGGCTAGGGCTAGGTCGGGTTGCAACTGAGGAAGGAGCGATTCCGGGTGACGATAGTACGGTTGGACGCATGTACTGCGAAATTTCGCTGGTCCGTTGTCCAGGTCAACTGCGATTTCCGTATCCGTCACCTCGAGCACTTTATATGGGCCTTGCCATCCGTGCTTCTCGCGAAATACGCGAACTTCGCTTCCTAGCGCCAGGGATAGGCAGGCGCAACGCTGTATCAGGCCCATTACGCGTATTTAACGCGGTCTGAACCTTCCTCTGGGCGTTGATCTTCCTCAGCTCTGACATCGTTCGCCACACCGCCTTAGCTCTTGCCATTGCGGAAGGTGTAGGCGGCGAATCCATCGTCATTCGAGGCAGAGCACCGAAGACGAGGAGGGTTGGAACGAGGCCATCCGGACCGGCTGTGTCGTTGACAGCCTTGAAAGCCATTTGAAGGACTTGATCAGGGCTCACGGTATCCTTCAGCTCTGCCTTTAATATATCATATGCTCTTCGGACGGGCACATGATACTTCTCAACCTTCCCAACAGCCCAATGTGCTTCCACAGGCACCTGATGACACGTTATTCCCATCAATTTCGCTTCTGCTTGGAACTCGGCAGCAGCGAAATTCGTGCCTGCGTCATGAGTGATCACATCGGGTGGTCCAAGGTATGTATCCATCCAACATTGTTTCAACGCGAGCCACGTTTCCTTGGCCGTCATGTTGGATAGGAATCTCCCTGCCTGATAGGCAGTGGCTTGATCAACAACATGGAGGACTGGTC